AATAGGAGCGGAGCACCAATGAAGAATGTTTCAATAACAGAGAAAATTTATTACTATTGAGAGACGCAGACGAAGTTGCGCGGGTCAGCTAGTACAAAATAAAACCCAGACTAATTATTTCAAATTTTTAATTATTTCTCAGTAGGTGGTAACGTACGATTGTGATGTGCACAGCATAATGTTAAAATACTATAAAGTAAATAAAGTTAAAAATTATACAATAACTACAATATAAAATTATTGGGATTCAGTAAATATTAATAATCAGGGAGTTCAAGTCATAACAGTGACGAAACAATCACCTGAATTGAAGTTTGTTACTGTAATGTATTTTTAGTCCAATTTCCTTCTGCGAATTGAAGACGGCGAATCGACTAGTGTTTGCCGAACTCGGTTCAATGAAAATCGTTCTTGTTTCTATGTACCTGAAGGTCGTTTTCTGTATGAGCTCATCTAAAAGTAACAGGCGAAAAATGTCTATGAAAGCCACTTATAGTAGATGTTCTATTTTATTTTATTTAGCTAAATTTAAAAACGTCTAGTTTGACTTTAAAAAAATAAACCCCGAATGCATTTAAATACTAAAGTGGTGAAGAACCTGGGGTTACATATCGATTCGACACTTGATTGGCGGACACGAGTTACACACGTCATCTAGAAAGTCGTCACATGTCTCCGCGCTTTATATCGTCTAAAGAACTTCCTTGCCACTAAAACTAAGGCTACGTATGTAGTACATTAGTTATTATATATATTGTAGTAGCTCAGGCCGTTTGCAAAAGAATTTTTAATATTATGTTTTTACCTCTTTGTATTTAATCTTGCACATTTTAGAATAGTCATATACTAGTTTTATGTTAGCCTTAGTAATAAACTTTATATAAGAATCTAATGACATAAGATGAAAATCATATACAAAATATAACCCAGACTTTATTCTCGTTCTGCAAATATGTATTTTTTTATTATTATTTCTCAGTAGGCGGTAACGTACGATTGTGATGTGCACAGCATAATGTTAAAATACTATAAAGTAATGCGCTATAAAGTTAAAAATTATACAATAACTACAATATAAAATTATTGGGATTCAGTAAATATTAATAATCAGGGAGTTCAAGTTATAACAGTGACGATACAATCACCTGAATTTAAGTTTGTTACTGTAATGTATTTTTAGTCCAATTTCCTTCTGCGAATTGAAGACGGCGAATCGACTAAAGTGTTTGCCGAACTCGGTTCAATGAAAACCGTTCTTGTTTCTATGTACCTGAAGGTCGTTTTCTGTATGAGCTCATCTAAAAGTAACAGGCGAAAAATGTCTATGAAAGCCACTTATAGTAGATGTTCTATTTTATTTTATTTAGCTAAATTTAAAAACGTCAAGTTTGACTTTAAAAAAATAAAACCCGATTGCATTAAAATACTAAAGTGAAAAGAAGAAGAACCTGGGGTTACATATCGATTCGACACTTGATTGGCGGACACAAGTTACACACGTCATCTAGAAAGTCGTCACATGTCTCCGCGCTTTATATCGTCTAAAGAACTTCCTTTCCACTAAAACTAAGGCTACGTATGTAGTACGTTATATAGTCCTTAATTATTCCCTTAATCGACTATGGTGACGTGTGTTATTTTGATATAAATGCAGACTATACTCAATAAACTAGATCGCCTTCTTAATAACTGCATTCGACTCGTTTTTAATTTTCGCTAGTATGAACATGTGTCTTCTTTACGTTCCCATCTGTAATGGCTACCGATTTGTCAGCGCCACAGTCTGCGAGTACTGACTTCTTATTTTTATTTCCTGAACTCTTCATCGATACATGAATATCACGTTCCCCACTTCCGTTTCTTATGCTCCAATCGCGACCGAAATCTTCGGTCAACAGACAATATGCTTCTTCTATGCCCCCTTTCACACCTTCAACTTTATCAATTCTTCCTTCTACGTGCAGTCAGTTCTGGAAGGCACTCTCTGTCGAAATCAGGATCTACACATACCGCCTTACATTTGAGACAAAAGTAGGCGAACTTCTTCAAATGAATTGGCAGAACAGTCACAACGCTAGTACCTGATTGTGTATTTTAATATAATATGAAAAATATGTATATTTATATGGTGTTTATGTATTGTGTATAGGTACTTCTGGATTTCCATGTAAATATTATAACATATGTAGTAACGAATTTATGTACTTTAGTTGTACCTAATGTAAGTTTATCTCTTATTTTCTAAAATATGAACGATGATAAATTTAATATTTTATCGTTGCATCTACCGCATCATATTTCTACATCATCTGGAGATCGACTGGAAGGGATTACTTCATGGCATTAAGTCCGCCTTTGTACAACATGTGCATTAAGGATAAATAAATAAATACTAACTAATAAACATATCACCCCTTATTTTGATACCTCACACGATATGTTTGGGAGAAAAAACTACATATAATTTGGCGCCATAAATCGGCCATCTTGATTTTTTACAATTTTAATATACAAGACAGATAGGTACGTTTCAGCCATTTAATAGTCATGTATATTGATGTAAATATACATATTAAACGGTCAAACCTACCCTTCCTTTTGAACTTCGCAACAGTCAACTGATAAAGATAACTTCAAAAGCCTTTAGTGTTACCTACAGTATTTTATTATAAGCATGTTTGCGTTACCGTAGTAACCATATTACGTAACCGAAGAGAAAATCAAATTGTCTGTGGTGAAATGTCCTAGTCATTATAACATTATTATGATGTGTATGGTTTAATTAGCATTTGTTTTGATACTTATTTGTAAGTCATAATCAGAGAGCTTGATAATTCAGCTGCATGTAAGTCATGATAGCATTGCATGAAGTGTAGTAGTTTAATGCATAAATATGAAAAAATACTGTGTTTATCATATCATATCGTTTATCAAAACGAACATAGCGGCAGAATTTCTTTTTATAATTTTAGTTGGGTCCTATTTTTTAGTTGAGTTTCATGTTTACTGCCAGTATTTGTAAAAAAAACTGTGTATAAATGTATATAAATTTCCTTCTGACGTATGTCTAACCCCGGCATAAATCTTGTGTTTAGTAGGAGTTTGCAAGGAAGTAACAACGCCATCTTGTGTCAATATAATTACATATAATACTAGCTGAGACCCGCGGTGTTACCCGCGTTTGTTGTTATAACCGCGGGCAACGCCGCGGAGCAAAGCTAGTCTAAAATAAGTAGCCTAAGTTACTCCTTATGTCATCAGCTATCAGCCAGTGAAAGTCCCGTCGAAATCGGTCCAGCCATTCCAGAGATTATCCGGAACAAACAGACAGACAGACAGACAAAAATTGTAAAAAAAATTATTTTGGTATATGTACCATGTAAACATACATATGCATTTAGTAAAAAGCGGTTATTTTAATATTACAAACAGACACTCCAATTTTATTTATTTGTATAGATGATTATAACGTTTTGGTATGTATTGTTGCTCGTCCACAGAAATGGTTCTATTCTCGTTTTAACTCCGCGAAAATATGCGCTGTAGAGTGCAGGCATTCCTCAGATCGATATTTCCCATTTTTAAACGGTCTGTTTCTCTTTATTTATCATCATATACTCACGTTTTTAAACTCGAAGGGGTTGACAGAGCCGTGTTGAACACCCACATTTTAGTCCCACAAGTGGGACTACATTTTAAGTTGTACCTAGTTGTAAGTTTAGACATATATACCTACATATTATAGATAAATTACACAGAGACAGAAGAAATTACGTGCTTAACATACAATACCTGTGTCTTTTTTATAGGTAGTAAAAACAAAATATTAATATTAGGTAAATATCAAAATATTAATATCAGTTAAATATAAAATCTTTATTTAGAAATACTACATAATATTTATCTCCTAATATTATTCTCATTCAATTTTATTTAAAGGTGAACACCATGGTTTGGCATAATTTCAAAATAGTTTTTCTCACGTGCGGTGTAATTGAACTTGCAAAGGAAAATATTAGCTATACCCACACAATTATTAGATAGACTCCACCATGTTCCCCTTTTTGATTAATGCTCGGTTCCCATAAGTCACACCGTGATGTTATAGCCTTATATATAGGTATATCTAAGTATGTATAGGTATAGCCTTCTATACAATCGTTCTCAAAATCCAGACTAGAATAAACCGGACTTGTAAAAGAGGAGAGAAATGCTGTCTATAATTTTTTTTTAATATGATGCACGGCAACATATATTCAGAATACCTACTTAATGCTATTATGTAGAACCAGCTGGTACACGCGACTTTGTTCGCGTGGAATTTTAAAAGCGCTGCCTTAGTAGTATAGTAGGTACGGTACGCGACTGCAGTCCCTGAGGCCCCTGGTTCGATTCCCGGCCTGGTCAAAATTTAATAGGGTTATGAGAGGAATAATAGCCGAAGTTACTCCTTATATGTATAGACAGCTACCTGGTAGTAAAATATTATCAAAATCGGTCGAGCCGTTTTGAAGATTGCCCAGAACAAACAGACAGACAGGCAGACAAAAAATATTTAAACTGGTTATTAGGCATAGGTATCGTGCAAATAACTGTGTGAGCATGTTTTTTTGACATTACAAACATACACTTCAATTTTATTTATTTCTATAGATACTTGTAGACAGTTGTGAAATAATATGTGCTATGATGATATATCTGATGTAAAAATGGCTAATAAAACTAAACGTTCAAGTATGTGTGTTGTACAAGTTAAACAAGGCGACATTCGCCCACCAGGAGATCTCCAGTTAGAATAAAACCGACACAGCAGGTGACTAACTCTCGATAAAAAGCCTACGTCTGGTCTTAAATTGGTCGGTCATATCTGAAGTAAGTAATATCAGTGTACTAAAATAAATTATAATCTTATATCATCTTACAATAGTGTGTTTTATAAATAAGAGCCAAAGAATGCTACAAAGGTACGTAATTTAAAAGAAACCAATATTTCAATGAAAATGTATGCTTCTAAATTTGAATTCCTAGCTTCCAATGAGGTGAGAATTCTCTATGTTTATTCTAGCTATTACAAAAAAAAACAACTGTAATTCTCCATTAGTCGTTTTTTTTAAATCTTTATTTATTTAGAGGCTTTTATTACAAAATAATACTCGTATGTTAGACCCATCGTGGCTTATTCTAAGATACTATGTCATGATATGAGACAGGGGAAGTCGTTGCTGTGAAAATATCTCAAATAGGTCTAACGCCGCATTAGAAGTAGGATTACTTAGAATGCTAATGAACAGTCCTACACATTAAGATTATATTTGCACAACAACGAGTCTATTAGTAGATAACAAATAGAATTGTCGGCCATATTGATACAACCTTCACTTTGCCTGTCCTACTTCATTTTCACATCCCGGGGACTTTATTGGCGCTAAGTGCCTTGGGGCCGGTCTCGAATGTGTTGCAAATTGTCGCAGCAAGACATATATTGCTACCTGGAGTGTCCTGTTATTGCATACGAAGATGCACTGGCGTTTGTAATATTTAAGGACAAACTTTGATATCCCTTAGGGTTTTGCACTTCGATTACATCTACGGTACAAAGATTTTGGCCAATACATAGCCACAGCCACAGGTCCGATTGGTCTGAAATTTGGTATACTTTTACTTTGATGATATTTCCACGAGCTGGTAACCTGTAACCTGTAACTTGCTGCTGCATCAAGTAGTCTGCGGGATAGCCAACTCCTGGGCAATTTACAGCATATATACCATGTTTGGTCTTATTAGAACAGTCTCAATTAGCAGTTCTTGTTTTTTTATTTTTTATGTGTCCGGGGTTTTTTAATGATGCTTTTTTTGCTGGAGTAGATGAAAAATTGTGGATTTGAACTGTAAAAACCACTGGGTGCCCAAGGAAATGTATTCTATTAGTTTAGATTTTGACCTAAAAGAAAGGACGCCTTCCGCTCGAATTTGTTTCTTTAGAACAACGAATTTACAAACTTAAGATCCTTGTTCAACTAAACAATACAGTTATAATAATATAAAACAGGTCATGTCAATGAGATTAATTTTGAATAAAGCTTTGTGCGCCAGTGTCAGAGTCAAAATATCAACCTATTATCCACTTACGACGAGATGGATCACTTGTGATAAAAATTTGTCATTTCCGGTAATTTGTTTGTCATAATATAGATAAGGTCTCCCTTTTTCACTACACACCTATATTAAGATCCATTTATTCGTTGACAGTATTGGCCGCCTGTTTGTCGCCAACGATTCTTCAGAATATAATCTTTTAGAGACAGGCTAAAGGAGTAAGGTAGACAGTACAAAACTCTGAATAAGTACGACAGAGTAAAGATACTGCAAGTCTTAGATAAGAAAACGAGACAGATTGCAGAGCTTAAAGAGGCTAAGTTTACCAACCCGTATGTTCATTCCGGGAACGCACAGGTGACTAGGAATAAATATCAACTGGTCTGGACTTTTTTTTTTGTAAATAAACACATTAAAAAATATCTTTAATATCATTAAAGTTTCGTGACCATTTTGAATCGTGATTTTCGTCTCATGCTGCTTGGCTTCCAACTGACAACTAGCTGAGAAGAAGCCTTATGAAATTCAGTCGGGCTTTTTTCTTATTTATTCATTTTTTATAGTCAAATGCGTTTACATTACAACGAAAAACGACTCCTCGTGTAATTAAAATGAAAAGAAACGCACAGTAAAATTTTATCTGCTATTAGTTGGATCCGATTGGTAAGTCCCTGGTCTCCACAGAATAAACCTTTGTTTCTGATTAGTAGGGCTTTAGGTTACTTGTATTATGTTTAGAACATCGGGTAGCCTAATTATTGGCAAATAGTATTTAGATTTGTTTAGTTTTTATTGATGTGGAGCATGCTAATTCATTGCTGCAATTTGCCATCCATAGTCGTCTGAAGTCTACTTTTATAAAAAGACCTTTTTGCATGTATTATGTTTATGTATTAGAGTAGACCTTTTTATTATTGTTTAGATGTACTTTGAATGTGAATGTTATTGCTTTGGGAATCCAAGACTTGAACTTGGATCCTCTTTAGATGATCATATTTTTTTCTGCTTAAATTGTTTACTGTTTATTACTGATTATTATTAATTACTGTGATATAATGTGACTATCAAAGGTCATACCTTTGATTTTATGTTTTTTAAAAGATATATAAAAAAAACCTAGCGTACAAATACAATGTTTCTCACAAGTATGAATTATGCAACATATCCTCTTGAATTGATCATTCATACGTCATTGATCGTGGTAAATCATGACGATTGTTGGTTATACCATGGTCTGTAATAAAATAAGCTCAATTTTATTTACCTTTTTAGACTCTGAATAGCTAAAATACAAAGTTTAATCTCTTCTTTCATTCACTTTGATAACTTCGTGTTACAACTTCAGTTCCAAAGTTAATGTTACAACTTATGTTGGCAGGCGTCGCTGGAGGTTCGACAAGTTGGAAGACGCGCCGTCAGCCAGCTGGCTGGTCGAGGCATGGACAACGACGTCTTCATAATACACTTCAACGATGTGTATAACATCGAACAGACTACAAGTAAGTTTGATTATTTTTCGTAAACGGAATATTTACCATGCTTATTTTCGGGAAGTAGTTACTGTTGCAAGCCCTATGATCACGAATGAACTTTTGCGTTTATTCGCAATCGTGGAGCTTACAACAGTATCAAGTAACAATAACCACGGTAGTTAAATCAATAGGCATTTGCCTATATTGTTCAGACCACTGGCGATATACGAATTGCCAGTGTGTCTTGTTATTGTGAATATATTTAATGAACTGTCTAATAACTTTGAACGGATATTATCTTCCTCCTAAACAAAGGGAGAATCCTCCGTCCAGGCGAGGTGACAATGTCTGATGTGGATGTTGTATATGTACTAAGCGGTGCGAAAACTTTCATTGCGCGATGCAGGCTAAGTAGTTCGGTGTATCTTCGTTAGATGGCATTGAAATATATTTTTTGAAGCTCTCAGAAACTCATTAATGATGGAAATCATTGCTACTGTTTTAGAATATTCATATGATAGAATGATTGTTTTTAGTCACTGTTATATCAACAGCGATAAATTAATACTGTGATTTGTCCATAGACAAAGATACCAAGGAGTGATTAAACTTATACCCGACCTTACGCGATTCTGGCGCTAGCGTACCTAATCATAATAATCACCCGCAGTCGCAGTGATAGTGTAGGGTAGTCACAGGAAAGATGCCTGTCTCTTAAATCATATGATTTAACACATGCGATTTTATTCCATCCGTGATATAAAACTCTTCGAAATTCATAATCATTCTAAATAAAGGCGTTAACAATGACGTGGGTTTATGTAATTGGCTGTTATTTTTAGATCCATTAGATACCGACATTAGGAAGGGTAATTTTCGTGTGAACACAATGAAATTTTTCTTTACATAGAAAACACGTATAAAGCAATCATTACAGTTCATTCAACTAGTTAATTTGGCTTCCGTCATGTAAAAACAACCTACAATACCAATAATGATATTTAAATTAAAAAAAAAGTATTTTCGATGGGGACTACAATGCCACATCACATCAACAGCCTTTAATAGTCCACTGCTTGACATAGGCCACTCCTTAGAAAGGAGGTTTTGGCCTACTATACCACGCTGGCCAGATGGGTTGGTATAGGGTTTGTGTCAAGTTTTCCTTCTCTCTGTGGTGCTGTTGGTCTGCGTAGATTTCTCCCTTAGTCGGCTCTTACGACACCCACGGGATGAATAGGGACAATGCCACTATCATGATGAATTATAATAAACTTTATTTTTTATTTTTAAAGTTTCCACCCTTACAGTATTTTTTCTTTAACTTTAAGAGCCCAAAAATACCCAAATTAACAAAAAAATAAGCTGTCGCAGGACGTCTGGCAGATGTGGAACGTCGCAATTATTTTGTAGGATTAATGAGTATAAAAGGATAGCTTATGACAGGAAATAATAAATATAGCACAATTACAAATATAGCCACAACGCATTGCATGATACATATACTATCACTAGCTGACCCGCGCAACTTCGTCTGCGTCTCTCAATAGTAATAAATTTTCTCTGTTTTTGAAACATTCTTCATTGGTCCTTAGCTCCTATTGGTCTAAGCGTGATGATATATAGCCTATAGCCTTCCTCGATAAATGGGCTATCTAACACTGAAAGAATTTTTCAAATCGGACCAGTAGTTCCTGAGATTAGCGCGTTCAAACAAACAAACAAACTCTTCAGCTTTATGATATTAGTATATATAGTATATACTATCATATGGCGTGGCGACGCATGCCGTGTATAAGAGGTTACACGTCAAAAATACTTCTAAATCGATTCATAAATAACTCAGTTCTGGGCTAACAAACATAAAAAAAGAAACAAACGAATTGAGAACCAAATGATTTTCATGCAGTTTTAAATTATTGTTAAATTTCTTCCTGCGATTAATTAACTCGATTTAAAAGACTAGAAACCGAGACATAAAAAGTAATAAAATTAGTACTGACTAGTTATACTAAATAATTATCTACAACACGTTTTTGCTTAGGTACCGTTTTTATTATCATTATACTGATTCGAAAGCAGTGAATGTGAGAAGCAGTTAAGAAATGTATATGTGTTAATCAGTGCAAAAAACTTGCGTTACGTTCATTGGCAAGACAAGCACCATTTTAGGATAATGCTTACCGCTCGCTCATGTTTTTAGGCCTCAACTACTGAAACAATTTCAATAAATCTAGTATAGAGATAGTCTGTCCGTGTAGTGACGGATTAAGAATACGGAATGTCACTACCCGAATTCATCCCGTGGGTGTCGTAAGAGCCGACTAAGGGAGCAAACTACGCAGGAGAACAGCACTTCAAAAAGAAGGAAAACTTGACACAAACCCTATACCTACCCGTCTGGCTAGCGTGTTATAGTAGGCCAAAACCTCCTTTCTAAGGAGAGCGCTATGTCCAGCAGTGGACCATTAAAGGCTGTTGATGATGATGATGTGATAGAGATAGTCGGGCTCTTAAAAATGGCTTAAGTTTTTTTTTGGAACGAAAACAATGTAGGGCGTGAAATATGAAATAAGAGCTGGTAAAGGAGATACTAGACAACGCTCCCGTTTTTTGGCAATTTTGTCATTCATCATTTCCTTAAAAAAAGCCTACATGGTATTTTCGACTATAATCTATCTTTGAGCTAAACCGCATCCAGGTCGGTTATTCGTTCTAGCGTGATTGAGTAACAAATATCAAATATCTTCACAAATTTTTAATAATAATAATAACTTTATTTCCAATATTAATACATAGTTCGTAGTTACAAAGAAATGTATACAAAGAAAAAGACAAAATATAAGCTAGTTACATTGTGTATGTTTGTAAAAATCCACTATGTTCACTACAAAAGGAGCCCCGTCACTTAAACTAGGTTAAACCTGTTATTTAAGCAACAGTGTTGGGTCGATCGAAGTTCCTTATAGAACTTCTCCTTATTATCTTCAAAAACACTAGTGTACCATATCATGCCCGTGTATGGTTGCAAGGGTGTGTATGTGTGTGTGGTGGAATGTGTTTAAGAATATTTCTGTGTAAATGTGGGTGTGTACATGTGTATTGTTCGTGTCGCGGCCACCAGTTACTACTTAGAATCTATATTCTAGGACATTCAATAGGTCCGTTCAGTAAAAGGTTATCATAAACATCTACAGTTATTCAAAGTTCTCACCTCTCACATTAAATTCAAACTCTATCGAGTTGTAGATCTCTTGGCTCGAATGCGAATGTTATAAATCTCGTTTACTTCAAAACTGTGGCCAATAGCCCAATATGATCTAGAGTGCTTCTACACGGTGCAAGACGACCGGATAGCGTAGTGGTTTGAAAAGAGGTAGTTGACATAGTCAACATCCTTTTCTGCTACAGCTTTCCTGATAGAACCAGTCTCTGTATACCCTCAAGACCAGTATGTATGACGGCCGCATATCAGGCATTTTGGTGGTTTGGACAAGAATTAGCTTTCTAACTGTGAACTCCATCGTATCATACTTTTAAGTTGTATAATAAAACCCGTTGCCATCATATATTGACAATAGTTAAAACTGATTTAACTATTATTTATGGTTTCTGCATATGTTCCAGTAGTGCATCTCTTAGCTTAGAAATCCCTATGGGCCACCACCTCACCGGGACTAACGGTGAAACTAAACCACATGGTGTTCTGTCACATCTATTGAATCTATTGCAAAGGACTCGGCTGTATCCTAGGAAGTAGGTCCCCGAGTAACCCGAAAGACCTTGACCGCCTTATGAAGCCACACCCTTGCGTGCAGAGGGCCTTGCCCTCCTTACGGTTTAGTGAGGCGCACGCGGAACCGTGCCACCACTGCCTCTGGCCTGCTGCTGCAAGTTGTTGACGCGGTGGCGTGTGTGATTGATGTACAATTTTATGAATTTAAACTAAACTACAAAATTTATTACATTAATAAATTTGCGTAAGTTTTTGTTAACATATTTACATACAGATATGGAGGAAAAACTTATTATCCATGGTATCATAACATAATCGTTTTGTTTCTATTATAAATTAAAATATCATAAATATAATAATAATAACCTCACACATCTCACACGGTCACACGTTTGGGATCACACGGCAGTATGATCCCAAACTATGTAGAGCCAGTGCTATGGCAACCAGACTGCCGATAAACATACTTAAATATTTCTAAGAACACACATATAACAGATAAATTACACCCAGATACAACAAATGAACGTCCACGTCATACAATTATTTGTCCTGGGTAGGAATCTAACCCACGACCTGGAGCTTAGCAGACAGTGTCAATAACCACTAGACCAACAAGCCCATCAATATGAGAAACTATATTTGCTTCTTCGTATTTTATACGCTGCCGTAATCGACACTAAAGTTAAACTAATCATAAATAAAAATTTCTGGGTAGGCTTAAGCACGCAGCAAGGGACTTCCTTTCTATGGTATACCTGGTTCCCCGGCTATTAGTACCCGAGACGGCGAACGGTTTTAGTCGGTTCGAGTCCGACATGCCACCGATAGGTGGTATCCGAGGGGATTTCCGCACGGAAAAAAAAAACAGGGTGGGCTTAAGAAAAAAACATATTTCTAGCAATACAAAAAATATTTTCCACGAGTTACCTTGCCTTCACTAAAATAAAAATTAAAAGTATAGTTCCTAAAACGGGAACCGTGTAATTAATAAAATATCTTAAAAAAATCATAAATAATCCTAGATCTCTATAACTACCTAAGGAATTTAATTATGGTGAATTTAAATCAAGCAGAGTCGCACTCAAACACATTTAAAATCATCAAAATTGGTACAGTGGATTAGTAGGACAATAATTATTCTGGTTTTGATCAGGAAGCATTAGTCACAGCCGTGATATAAACTTTTATCGGAATGCCCGAGGTATTTTCTCATTGCATTTTAAGACAAATTTGAAGTTCAGTGAACTTGCTAGGTCATGTTTTATCTCGGCACTATGCCAATCTACAAAAAAGAAATCTAAATTTACTAACATACTAAGGAACTATAAATAGTATAAAGTGGAAATGTTGGATATTGATGGATATCACTGTGGCGGCAAAGCCAAAATTTTGATGGCTCGTCTTTCTTTTCAGAATGTATTTTCCATATAATATGGCCATGGCTCATTGAACTTACTTAGGTACTTATTTAACCAGAAGATAGATAAAATGAGGTTACTAGTTATGGCCGTATATACTTACCATGAGGACCTATCGCTAGCTATAAATATATTTTCCAGTTAAATCATCTATTGTAGCCAGTATCACAGGAAATTAAGGTTAACTACCATCTCTTATAATAGCTTAGGGTTATTTCCCTAATCGGTCAGTTCCGAATAATTGCAACTTACTTATTAAATATTTGTGTGATCTCAGATACTGAGCCCGTTGGAGGCGCATTGAGGTTCAGCACTGCTGTCAAGGCTCTGCAGCATCTAAATCCACTGGTGCTGTTCAGTGGAGATGTCTTCTCACCGAGCATGTGTAAGTGTAGGCAGTATTTTGGCACTTAATTTTTAAAAGTACCTAAATCTTATTTTAAAGCGAATCAAGTTGAACTTGCGACAGGGTTATGTTGCGTTTCTAGGTGGTTTGTGTAAAGCATGTGCTTCAAAAAGAATAAAAAAGACACATAGCACCCATGTACCACATTCTCCCTCTGGGCCGCATCCAACGGTAATCGAATCAGACGAATCGAATCGATCAGACAGCCAGAAGATCTCCGATCGGCTTGAAATTTTGGCGTTACGTAGAGGTGTAGCTTGACTCTGCGTTCAAAGAGATGCTCGTGCTCCTGAGAGAGATGAAAACAGTATTCCATATGCTGCCGGACTTGCGCCGTATAGAGTAGCAGGCAGTGGGCTGGAGTAAAAAACTGGCTCGATCTGTTTAACACACCAAGCTTCTTGATAAACACGCGCTTGTGACTCCTGAGTTGCAGGTGTTCCTGGGTGGCGGTAGTCACTTTCTATCAGGTGACCCGTCTGCTCGTTTGCCCCCTTCACCATAAAAACCATAAAAATTCTTTATCCGTGTGGTGACGGATAAAGAATACAGAGTGTCACCACCCCTATTCAACCCGTAGGTGTCGTAAGAGCCGACTAAGGGAGAAAACTACGCAGAGCAACAGCACTGCAGAGAGAAGGAAAACTTGACACAAACCCTATACCAACCCGTCTGGCCAGCGTGGTATAGTAGGCCAAAACCTCCTTTCTAAGGAGAGGTTTATGTCCAGCAGTGGACTGTTAAAGGCTGTTGATGATGATGATGACCATAAAAAAAGCACAAGATTATGTGCCTTGGAAGTGGAGGCTATTTATAGGTGTATGCACAGTTGAGTCAGAATTAAACTGGCTATGGCCACACGCCGTTTTTGGGGCACGTAGTTCTTTAAAATTACAGAGCCACATGAGGTTACCCAGGTCTTGTATCCTATATATAAAACATAAAGAAACTCTCGTCCTCAAAGCTGCTGAAATTGATACAACTATATGTATTACGATAAATCATATATTCTGTTGCAGTAAGCACTTTTACGAAAGGTGAGCAAATGGTGCCGGTGCTAAACGAAATTGGGACACAGTGCGCGGTATTTGGCAACCACGACTTTGGTGAGTGAAAGTATTGTCTAAGCTACATAGCGGTAATTTGCAAATTGTTGTTAATTACACTTGTTAGAATGTCTCGTTGCTTAACATGTCGGTTAATATTTAGATATTTTTAAAGTAAGTAAGGAGATTCCCCTAACTTTCAATATCATCGTAATCTCTACAGGCCATTTTCACATTATTTTTAATTGGCCCGTTGGCCTGGTGGTGAGTAGTCCTGACTGCTAAGCCGGAAGTAATGGGTTCGATTCCCACCTAAGACAAATAATTGTGTGATGAGCACGATAATTTGCTCTTTTTCTGGGTGTAATTTATCTATAATATCTTTTTATTTAGAAATATATATGTATTTTATCAGCAGTCTAGTCATCATCTGTCCGTGTAGTGACGGATTAAGAATACGGAATGTCACTACCCCAATTCATCCCGTGGGTGTCGTAAGAGCCGACTAAGGGCGCAAAACAACGCAGGACACCAGCACTGCAAAAAGAAGAAAAACTTCACCAACCCAATACCAACCCGTAGGCCAAAACCTCCTTTCTAAGGATATGTCCAGCAGTGGACTATTAAAGGCTGTTGATGATGTGAGTCACCAATAGTACAGACTCTGCCTAGTTTGGAATCAGATGTTCGTATGTGAAATAAATTAAGTTATTAATATTATAATTCGATTTTTAAAAAAATGTACATTATTATTTCAGATTTTGGCCTGGACGTCCTATCGGGTCTAGTGGCCCAGTGCAATTTCCCCTGGTTAATGTCAAACGTTATAGACAACGAGACGGGAAGGCCACTGGGGGACGGCAAAATCACACACGCGCTGCTCTGTAACGGACACAAAATAGGGTTCATCGGCCTTGTTGAACAGGTAACTACGTAAATATGCTGCACAGATTCATAGAAGAGTGCTGTGACTGCTGTGTTGAAGTTTCGGGTTCGATTCCCGGGTCGGACCAAATATTTGTATGCTCTGCAAATAGTTTGGGTGTTTTCAATTCAATTCAATTCGTTTATTGCGCTCCAAAATGTATACACAGGTCTTATAAATATAGAAAGAAACAATTATGGACCCTGTCGGGCACGGCAAACATTAGGAGATAAAAGCAAACATTCCATCATCATATTGAAATGTAGATTAGTAAATAGAACTAAGTAGGTATTTCTTTTATTGCTCACGTATTAATTAAATTTATTAAATATTATATTATAGTATTTTGTAATTATATATTATGTTAATTATTCAAATTTGTCGTTTAGATTTTCATTTATATGGTAGTAGCATTTTTGTATTAAAAGATTAAATTTTTAAAATATATTTAATTTTTCTTCATTTTTAATATTATTGGATAATTTATTATATATTTTAATGGACATGACATAGGGGCTTGATGCATGCATTTTTAATCTATGTATAATATGTATGTATTTACAAAAAAAAAAACATAAGTATTATATCAGTCAATCTAGCTTTCATAGTACAAGCTCTGCTTAGTTTCTAACTAGATGGCGTTGTGTGTTAGATGTCTGAAATATTATTATCATATTAACGAGCTACTTTGGGAGCAATTCTTCTCCCTTGGTATGTTGTTCTATGACCATCTCAATGAAACCTTTCTGTCCAGGAATGGTTGGAGACACTGGCCACAATAAATCCAGAAGAAGTGACGTTCATAGACTTTGTACAAGCTGGATCTAAATTGGCGTCACAGTTGAAACAAGAAGTAAGTCTTTTATATATAGCTATTGTAATATGGGTTTCTACAAGTTTAACATAAGTTAATAAAAATGGTGAATAAATAAAGAAAAAGGTTATAAAGATATACAGGGTGTTTTATGTGGATTGGTCATATTCAATTGTAATTTATTACTTTTGTTTTTAATTCAGGCTCAAAATATGCAATCCATTTTTAAAATTGCCCTTGACCCTTGAGATAACCTTCAAGGTTGCTATCAAGGTCACCAAAGGATAGCCAGGGAAATTCCTGTAACTTTGGTGTTTATCATATTACCGAAAAATGCATCCCTAGCGAATTATTCTGCTGTTCCGGTACTTTTCTAACATCCGGTATATTATGTCCGTTTTCTATGTCAAATATAAACATTGATACAAATTCTTTGTTTAATTGTTGCGTATAGGTAGTATTATAGTTAAACCGCCGTAAGCTTGGCCCTCCTGATGGTTTGGGGGACGCGGGGCGGGGGTGCATTCAATCAATTAGCTAGTGCGTCGCTGTCCGCCGGCAGTGGCTGACGTGAAAGCATGGCTGTACTTGTTATTTTTCTTAAGACTGCTACACACGGTATTATTTTGCAACATGGATAATCTGCCGACTCTGCGTCACAAAAAGATTTAAAAACTTGAAGTTTGGCTTACAGAGGTTCTACTGTTAAAGTTCTAATAAAGAATATTTATTATTTTACTTAATTTTTAAATTGTATCTGAATATAATTTACATGATGAATATAAGGTGATTTTATTAAAATTATTTTACAGTATTAAATTTTACAATTAATCATAAAAACTTACAATACACTGATATTATAATACATGGAAATAAATTAGATTTTTATTACATCGTGTGTAGATTAAATCTCAAACAAATAAATCTGAAGATATCGAGTTAGTACATCGTGTCATGTATAGCCGAGCGCATCACCCGCCCCGCGTCCCGCAAACCATCAGGAGGGCCAAGCTTACGGCGGTTTAACTATAGTAGTAGGTGTTTTGCTATACTGCAAAAAATGCTATTTTCTATATTAAAATACCATTATAAAGTATTGAGTACTTGACGAACAAATTATAAAACAACAACTTTTAATCCGTAGTTTTACAGAAAGTAAAGTAAAATAATTTTGCCAAAATTATTCGTTTGAATGTCAAATATTTAATTCTTGCTTGCAAAAATGAATTACTCACCAACAACGTATTATGAGTATTCAATAATTATTTTTTACTCGTAAATGTCAACAATTTCAAAAAAACTGCAAATCTTCTTGGTAATAAATGCTGTAGCGAATAATGCTATAAGTTTTATTCCTCAAAACTCATCCGTAATATTCGTTTTAATACGCCAATGTTTTCAGTTCAATTTGGCACTTCCAAAAAAAAATTTCTGTATTGAATATCACGTTTTTTTTAAAATTTAAGTACGCCTTTATAATTTAAAAAAAATGTCGTAATAGGAACAAGTACCTTCATTTTAATTAGAATAACTTACCTACAGCTCAGAGCATATTATATATAAAGCATATATATAAAGCAGGCGGTTTTTTTTTATTGTTAGAGGGCGCAGACGAGCAGACAGGTTACCTGATGGAAAGTGACCATCGCCGCCCATGAACGTTTGCAACTCAGGAGTCACAAACGCGTTGCCGGCCTTTCAGGAAGGAGTACGCTCTTTTCTAGAAGGTTTGAAGGTTTCCTCATTTAATTATATTCTTTGTTCCAGGGCTGTGAATTCGTAATAGCACTAACTCACATGCGAACACCGAACGACATAAAATTGGCTGAAGGATGCACTGACATAGATCTGATATTGGGGGGTCATGATCATGTATATGAAGTACTAGATGTAAGTATTATGGTGTAAAGCTTTTAATAAAAAAAACCTTGTATTCAAAAAAAATCGTAGACCGAGATGGTCGCAATTGTGTGACCTCTGCGAGGAAAAGAGATAGAATTATAATAAAACGTGTACGTTAAAACAGGCAATTTATATTCTGTTTCGTCAGGCGTACAAAGGATAAGTCAAAAATTATTTCGATCCACAACAGATTCACCACAAACCACAACAGTCAGTTGTGGTTTGTTATAGGCATTGAGATAAAATCGCCGTCCGTCCCCGTCCGATGTCTGACCCAACCTTTACCTATTTATGTGCACCCCGAAAGTAAACGTCAGGGGTGATCAGCTCACCAGGGACTTCCTTTCTAGGGTATACCTGGTTCCCCGGCTATTAGTACCCGAGACGGCGTGCGGTTTTAGTCGGTTCGAGTCCGACATGCCACCGACAGGTGGTATCCGAGGGGATTTCCGCACGGAAAAAAAAGGAAAAAAAAAGGGGGTGATCAGCTTAGGTATATGGGCACCTATTTAGTTAAAGTCTACAAAAACTAATGCAGTTCTAGGGGTGTGCGTGTTGGGGGTAAATTTAATACAAATAGAAGGTTACAATTTTGGTTACGTCATATTACTAGTGATATTGAGGCGAGCACGACAGTTAACGACGCGATCTGTAGAGGAACTAAAGTCAATTGCCAAAGCTTTCGTATTTTTAACATAATGCTGTGTTCGGATTTCCGTGTGGTGACGGATTAAGAATACAGTGTCACCACCCCTATTTATCCCGTGGGTGTCGAAGAGCCAGCTAATGGATCAAACTACGCAGGACAACAGCACTGCAAAGAGAAGGAAAACTTGACACAAACCCTATACCAACCCGTCTAGCCAGCGTGGTATAGTAGGCCAAAACCTCCCTTCTATGTCCAGCAGTGGACTATTAAAAGCAAATGATGTGATATGATGTGTTCGCATTACTGTTTGCCCACACCTAATATTTAGACAACCCTATATTTCTGTCTAAATATTAATATCAGACATTTTATTTCCGACAGATAAACAACAGATTTATAGTGAAGTCCGGCACCGACTTTCGGCAATTCAGCAAGATCCGGATTAGTTTTACAGGCGAAAGCAGTGAGGTGGACATATCAGAGATGTCTGTGACCAGTTCCTATGCAGAAGACTTGGTGCTCAAGGCGAAGGTCGACAAGTATTCCTGTGAGTATATTATGTTAAATTTCTGTAACAGTAAATTATTCCAGAAGTCAACCAGATTAATATTAATTATTTCAACACTCTTGTGAATCAACTTACTATGGTAAAATATTTACTCACTGCAAACTCGGTCATAAGTCATGGAAGCAAAATGAAAATGGCTTTCCTATGACTACTGTGGGAGGGTTATGAATCAGATAAAATTAAGACATGCACACACAGACACCTACACACACACACACACACACACACACACACACATGTCTATGAGCGGTGGTAGTCACTTACCATCAAGTGATCAAGCGACCGGTCTACTCGTTTGCCACCATACACCATAAAAAAAATAGCATCAATATTTATGACCAAGTTTACAGCGAGCTAATAATGTGACTAAAGGCAGCAGAATGACACTTGATTTTTAGACTGGTTACTAAGGTTAATGTGATTGGAACTGCAAGCAAGAACTAAAGGGAAAAATAATAAAAAGCCGTGTGGTGTCGTGGGACACCCGATAGGAACGAAGTTGTGACGATCGAGTAAAACTGATTCGACACGATTTTAATTACAACGGCATCTATGAAAGCGGCTATTACCTACATATTTTTCAGTTGGTTTCTAATCAAAACAATTTATACATTGGTAAAATCTCCTTGAGAAATGATTTCCTATCTATTCGATAGATGGCGCTGAATGACTGACAAGTGACAATTCAAAATAAATACTGAGATGAAAAGTAATGATTTCCTATCTATTCGATAGATGGCGCTGAATGACTGACATAAAAAGTGTCGTTACAACTTTTCGTGAGAATTTTTTCCGTCTAGCCCCCTTTCACAACGCGCGATAAGGAACTTCGTTCCAATAAAAATAAATAAATTTGCATCCAATTTTATTTTCAGCAATGATAGAAGGTAAAATGGATGAGATTCTTGGCAAGATATGCGTACCACTGGAGGGGCGGTTCTCGTGTATTAGGAGACAGGAGTGCAACCTTGGCAACTGGGTGTGTGATGTGCTCCTGGCGGCCACAGGAGCTGACCTGGTTTTGCTTAATTCTGGGACCTTCAGATCTGATCAGGTCTGTATGATGATATCTACTTATAATTTGATGTCTGAAACCTCGCAACACCAGTTTCCTTTCCCTGTACCTGGATTTGGAATAATATCTTGGCTATTGATTTCTTGGGAGACTAATTTTGAAGGTTAACTCCAAACAGAGAAGAAAATAGTTTATACTGAAAACAGCAATATACAGGTGGTTTTTGTAATGACCACAAAATGAATATAATAACAGAAATATATTATGTTTTTTTTTCTTTTCAAGGTGCATCCCGCTGGTGACTTCACTCTGCGAGATCTCTCTACAATCATCCCAATGCGGGATCCTCTGGTCGTTGTGGAAGCAACTGGTGAAGTTATACTGCAAGTCTTGGAGAACTCCGTCAGCAAGTATCCCAGCCTCGAGGGACGGTTCCCACAGGTGAGATGCTAAGTTCGCTGTCAAGGCCCTGACTATTTTCCACCGTTATCAGGGGCCAACTCGATCGTCACTGTGACGTATTGTGGCCCGCACTGAAATCTTCACCAATTGCGTTGAGAGTTTATATGAAATAAATTTACACTAGGCCTTCAGATCATCACCACATTCCTGCCTGATAAGTCTTTTTCTTTTGGTGTCGGCTCAATATCTAACTATCGCTAAGGGTTTTACATTTATTTTATGCCCAAGAACCTGCCCTATGCCAATTCTCCTTGAGAATGTAAAAAGTAATATATAGAAGGAGGATAGGGCGAGGGAGCTATCATAAGGGATACTACAAGCCCCGTTGCCTATCCTGGACTTGAGGCGTTCACCAGGCAGATACAATGGTTAACTATACAGGATGTTAGAAAAAACGTTACCGAAAACGAAGACCGACGATAGTGCCAATTTCAACTTTGATAATGAGTCAGAAAAACAAAACTAGTTTCGTCCCAGTCACCAGCGACTTGGTCCGCGGTGGTCGACATCAGATATCCTAGAGGATACGCTACTACCCAAAAATAACAAAGTTTCGAATAAATTGCCAACCCCCATTAACCACTCTTAGAGGGTGCAGTTTTTCAAAATCATTTCTTAGTGCACGTCTACATCGCCTAAGAAATATTTGTTCAAATTTCATGCTTCTAGACCATTCAGTGAATAAGTATGTCAGTTTCTTCTTTTGTATATAAAAATAAAAATAATATTTTATAAATTAAAATAATCGTGGGTGAGTAACCTACTTACTAACTTTGTCCGATCTTTTCCTGCTTGTGGACAATGTTGCCATAAAAATATTACTCTATTTACGAGTCCATTAGATTGAGTTTCAACGAGGTAAAGATACCATCTTCAACTACGAGTCAGCAGAAATAAAAAACTTGAAACTTTTAAATTCATTTTTAGGTTGCCGGTGTATCATTTGCCTTTGACCCCTCGAAGCCAGCCGGGGAGAGGGTGGCTGAACAAGTGGTCAAAATAGGAGACGAATACCTACAACGAGACCAGAAGTACCGACTGGCTGTCAAACAATACCTTTATAGTGGCAACGACGGTTTTAACATGCTACCTAAATGTAAAGTCCTTGTAAGTGTGATATGTATGCTAACAAATTAAACAACCGATACATAAGCTGATCAATCAAGCTGATTTATTACTAAGTAAAGTGCGCTGACGTCATCCGGTACACCCAATGCACATATATATCAAAGTGTCTTTTATTTATTTATGCATAAACACATATATACGTCCGTGTGGTGATTGACAAAGAATACGGAGTCTCACCACCCATATTCATTTCGTGGGTGTCGTCAGAACTGACTAAGGGAGCAAACTACGCAGGACAACAGAACAGTAAAGAAAAGGAAAACTTAAAACAAACCCTATACCTACCTGTCTGGTCAGCATGTTATAGTAGGGCAAAACCTCCTTCCTACGATGGGCCTATCCCATTGCACGCCATTTAGATCGATTTTGGGCTTCTCGCATCCAGCTGCTGCCGGCTATCTTTCGCAAATCATCACTCCACTTGGCCTGTGGGCGTCCTACACTACGTTTGCCGAGACGCGGTCTCCACTCAAGAACTCGTTTAAAATATATAGTTTATGTATAAAATAAATAATGATAATTAAGTTATTTCAGCGTGCAGGAGATCTCTGTCCGGCGATTTATTTAGCAATCAAATTAGTATATAGCAAGAAGTGTCGGAAGAAAGTCTTGTTACACATTTTTTGGTGTGGCTCCCATCCGCTAATCTGGGCTGTTTTAGATCCCAGAAGACATGTGTCCAGAGATCGGCATGGCCATCCAGAACCACTTCGCAGCGATCAATGTTAGGACGGGCAAGTCCAGACCCAGCAAACACAGGCAGTCACTCGTTACTTTAAGTAGGAGGTAAAGTTTACATAATAATTATTTTAATCCTACAATCTGTTGAAAAAAATCGTTTGAAAATGATATCGATAAATAGAATATCGATAAAATGATATCACGTTATTTCATTCATATATCCCCGCTAGTTTGGAGCAGTAGTTATGATATTCATGAATGATATGAAACAGGGTATAATAATAATAACTTTACAGTAGGTACTGCCAGTACAAAGAAAAAAATGAGCTGTCGCGGGACGTCTGGCAGAAGTGAAAAATCGCTATTATTTTGTAGAAATAATGAGTATAAAAGGATAGCCTAATAAAGAAAATGTAAATATACCACAATTGAAAACAGGGTCACTTACGCCATTATATGCTACTATCAAATAGCGTGGCGACGCGTCGCCACTTCAACAGCCCGTCTGGCCCTCCGCATTATGATGTTGATGAAGAATTGAAGCATACCTACATTTTAACATGACCTAGGCACATTATTTCGAGACTTCAATTTTAAACATATTCGTGGCTTGAAGTAAATTGATTTAAAATAATAATTATTATATTCAGGCACAGTCTAGTGAAGATGTTAGATGCAAGTGATCTGGACGGTCCTCCGCCACTCCGCAGAGCTTCCTCAGTCGCCGTAGAACCTACTTCACATAGCAGTCATCACAGGTAACTAACAAATTATGTTGCTCCTATAACATACTGTTACGGTGGACCTAAGCTGTGATATATTTAACCAATCGAATATTCCAAAACCAACATTCTAGAACCATCCAACGAGATTTTTCGAGAAAATTTACGATCCTTCTGGAACTTTTTAGGATGGCCTACATATATACCCGCTGCGTTGCAGTATTGGTTTGGGTTTTACGGTACAGCGAGCATACAACTGCGTCGAATAACAAAACTAATTGTTGTGTTATTGAATAAGTCGATGAAACACACACATGAAATCACGAACCCCAGCTCTTAACAATACTTTTATAAACTTTTACTATATTTTAATTTCTAGACTATTTATATGCAACAAAAGACAGGAACCTCTAAGAATATTCTAATGGAAGGGAAAAAGAAAAGCGATTATTGTCTGGATAGTGTTCGATCTGACTCCGTTAGATGGCGCTGATCCAAACATTAATAGGCACGAATGGGGGAATGAATCGACCGGAGTGATAGGCCTCACAGAAAACCGGTGTTAAGCAATTTCGTTGCCTTTTACTGAGTGATTGAGGTTACCGGAGCCTAAATCCTCCTTCCGCTGACTCGAGCGGGAGGGACTCATAGGGCAGCAACGCACTTGTGACTTTCGAGCTACAAGGTGTCACTGGGCGTCCAAAAAAAAGTTGCATTTTTAACGTAGCAAAATTTATTCCAGAAATATTAACATTTCAGGTTAACCCGTCGAGCATCACTGGACGATCTCGAACAACAGTCGTGTGAACTAGCGCCTAAATTAGAGAACAGAATCATTGTGCTGAACAAACCTGAGGTACGTAATATAATTTAAAAAGAACTTGCCACCATAGTCTCAATGTGTCAAGAATGGTCACACATCTTTAAACTGACCTGTCTAGGGTTGCTTAGCTTTGTAATGTGTTTTTTACTGTAATTTCTTTTTTCTCAGTCAGCTGTTGGTTAAAAGTACTTTTGACTGGTTATAAGTTTAAACTGCAACATTTACAAACATTGACATGGGATATATTTAAAATATATTTTTCAAAAAATTAATAGGTCAACGAAATATCTAAAATGGTGAAAATACAGAGAATGTTGAGCCCATAGTTCGGATTTAGCGGAAAGGTCTATTAGTAGCTTAGAATTAGTAAGTACGCAATATTGAGCATGCGTTTATCTAATATATAAAATTCTCGTGTCACGGTGTGCGTGGTTGAACTCCTCCGTAACGGCTCGACCGATTTTCGTGAAATTTTTGTGTGTATATCGGGTAGGTCTGAGAATCGGCCAACATCTATTTTTCATACACCTATTTTTTTTTTTTTGAAGTAATGTATATGGCAAAACAACGTTTGCCTGGTCAGCTAGTAGTCTATACAAAAATATATATAAGGGGGAAGAAGAGTAAACAGCTGGCAGTCACACCAAGAGACTCATTTCATCAGCTTTAATCATCATTGGTATATCGTCTAATAATAATATCTTCACTTCCACTTAACTAAAATATTTTAAACTTTTTTCTAGGAGCTCCAAGCGCTAATTGCAGAACGTATCAGGTGGGAAGCTGACACCGTCATCAAAGAAGTGGACGATGAATCATCACCCTAAGAACTACCGACATTCTACGGGTGCTTCTTATGGTATCGACATTTAGCACCCTAGATTATGTAGTTTTAAACTCATACCTAGCGGGGGAAGATGGGAAAAGACTTTTTTTAGCAGTACAGTAAAACCTAGGGGTTGTAGTAGAGATTAGTGGTGTAACAAATATTCGCATTCGTATTTGCGTGTGTATATTCGCATTCGGATAAACTTATGCGAATTTTTTTCGTAAGTGTAGCTTGACATTGAAACCTAATATTTATTTAACCACAAATGGTCTAATTTGATTTAGAATATTTTCTATTTTTATCAACTTTGTAAAGTTTTAAACATAAACTGCTTTAAAATATGTCTTTACTCATAACAAAAGTAATAGAATTGATAAAATCTATCGACGAAATCTTTCTTTACCAAATCCATGTAAAAATGCCTGCGTCATAAATATGACTCATAGCACATAATTGCAATCACAAATGTTAAAGTTAAATATTCGTATTCCCGTGAATATGCGAAATCAAATATTCGTTACCAGCCCCAGATCTAGGGAGGGTAGGCCAACCGGGTTACCCGCCCCTGGCGGCAGGTTCAGGGGGCGCCAAAATCATAATGTAGTATGATTAAAAATAAAAATCTTGCTTCACAAAGCGCCTAGCATACGGGAGCCTGGTTGGGCTCACCAGCGATCTGTAAGAAAAAGGCGTCACACAGGCCCATACTACAAGTGAACTTATATATTTGTGAGTTTCTTTAAGTAATTTATCTTAAACGCTGGAGAGAGGGGCCACTATCAAGTTTCTGCCCATGTTCTAAAAAATCGTAGATCCGGGGCTGTTCGTTACATCACTAGTACTTATATTACTATTTGAGTATTAAATATTAGAGCAAAATATTAATTTAACTCGCTACTTAGTATTTATTCCAATATCTTTTAGATACATCTAAGGACGTCATGCGAAATATTACCACTCCCTGTCGTTAGGGTTACCAGCTTATAATTTTACTGTCGATACCAACATTTTACAAAATAGAATTTTCGTTATTTATTCTTTTAGATAGAATTGTAAATGCTTTGGTGTAACAGTAATAGGTACTCTTTGGAATATTTTTGCAAAGTTTTCAAAATTACCTTTTAGTCAAATGAAAACGAAAGAAAATAGATTTTTATTCTATGTGTATTTCTTCTACTACGTTGGTTATTAGTAAGTGTATAAAATAGTTTTAATAGCTTTTTAATTACTGAACGAATAGTTAAAACTTCTGTAATTTGTATTTAATGTAATTTATTCGTACGATTTTGGCCATTTAATAGGTCTGAGTTATAGGACTTGCACTTGGCTCATATAAGGCTATCATTAATACTTCAAAGACTAGGGCATTAATTAGACAATTGTATATGTAACATAAGGTTTTTGATGTAAAAAAAAAAACTTGTGGTATACAATCGTGGGAGGGACTTACTAAAAAGAACGGAAGTGAGTAACAGGAAGCTGGAGAAGCGCGCTATTTGATTCGCCCAATGAGCGCGATGATCAGATCAGTCAGATGTTACACATAATATGCGACTACTTTAAGGCGCATTCGTTCGTTTCTTTTTTAATTTGATCTTTAAGATTTAGTAGTAAAGGCGACTGCTTTGAAAGCGAATGAGAGAAATTATTTACAGGGCGTTGTCTCTAGTTTAAAATGTATGTTCCAAATTTAAATGTAGGTACATGAGTTTCGTAAAAAGGTCGTGTAAGGCATAAACAGTGACCAAAGGTTATTAATCTTATTTATCGGTACTAAGATCGTCTTCGATTGCGAGGATTTTCGCAAGTCTTAATTACAAGATGGCGCTAGTGTGAATGAGTTCAGATTGTTCTAAACTCAAAATTTTCAACAAAAATTTGTTATATCTATTATCCTCGCGGTTTTTCTTTAATCCACACAACACTTCTCTGCACAAATCGACATAAACAATTTTAGAGTTATTGAGTTACTTACATCATACAAGGTCAATAGTTGACCATAGACAAAACTGTAAACGAGACGATCAATTATTTGAATAGTATAATTAAATATAATTATAATTAAATTAATCATAATTTAATCATATAGCTTTCATAGTAAGTGGTGGGGACGTACTTTACAAAAGAACCCGTTTAGTTACCTGTAATACTCAACAGAGGTCTCTCTTTTTTATAAAATATATAGAGTTTAACTAATATTATGAGGAGTCGTGGCTACGTGGTAACCGAGTAGGTACATTGCAAAAGTAAAGCAACCCTAGCCAAGTCAGTCTATGGATGGGTGACCATTCTTAATACATTAAGACCTTAAGCCGTTGCTATACGAACATTTGTGGCAATCGTTACGGGAAGTTGAAGCCCTAAAAATTTCGACAACGGTCTATCTACAGAACTTGGATGTCGCCTAGTACTAGGGTTTTGGACTTAAAGCCGAGCCCAACCTAGTTCGGGAAAAACGCTCAGAGGAAGATATAGTTTTACTTCTGTGTATTTCAGGGTTGCTAGATATGTGACGTCACTCCAAACTTTTTAACCGACTCCATAAAAATAAGAGGTTCTCAATACGATAATATTTTGTTTTTATGTTTGTTACTTCAGAACTCTGTCATTTAAATACCGATTTGGATAAATATTTTTTATATGGTAGGGTATGCTTCCCTTTGGGTGGAATTCAAATTTGAAGAAAAAATATCCTCCCCAAGGGTTGAAAATTAAAGAGGGAAGAAAAGAGTTTACTACAATTTATCACTATGTAGCCGCATTAAATTCCGGGGAGTGTTCACTCTATGAACGGGACTAATCCCTTTCACACGCCCTCCACTATAAGTCCTTTACACCAAGATCAACAGTAGTGACCCACGCACACACCGAGTTATGACACTCGGGAAGTCCCAGGAAAAAATTACACTCTTGGAAGCCGCAACGAAATTAATCAGAAGAAAATTGGAGGAGTTGGTACTATAAATAAATCCACTTCCCTCCTTAACAAAGCGGGAGACAAAATGAAGAAAAATAGGCATAAACCCTTTAAACAGGGAAGAGTTTTCACTTGTAAAAAAAACTGTTTTAAAAGTAAATTATCTTCATCTACTACATAACACTATTATTTAATACCGGTTGTAGTAAACAGTACCAGGGATTTCCTTTCTAGGGTACACCTGGTTCCCCGGCTACTGGTACCCGAGACGGCGTGCGGTTTTTAGTCGGCTCGAGTCCGACGTAGCCACCGGTAGGTGTTATCCGAGGGGATTTCCGCACGGAAAAAAAAAGGTTTAGTAAACAAGTATGTCCCCAACACAAATAGGCCTAGTCTTCCGTATAATACTCTAACTGTTGTAAAAATTTACTTATATTATCTGTGGTTTATCCACAATTAGGCTATTTAGCTCATATTTAAATGTGATGGAGATTATTACAGCTTGACAGTTGTATAAAAGATAAAAGTGCATAGATGGCGTAGTGGTTTCATCGGTCACCTGTGCTTTAAATACCGCAGTGTTAAAAAAAAATTGCTAATGCCAAATCTATACTAATATTATAAAGCTGAAGAGTTTGTTTGTTTGTTTGAACGCGCTAATCTCAGGAACTACTGGTCCGATTTGAAAAATTCTTTCAGTGTTAGATAGCCCATTTATCGAGGAAGGCTATAGGCTATATATCATCACGCTAAGACCAATAGGAGCGGAGCACCAATGAAGAATGTTTCAAAAACGGAGAAAATTTATTACTATTGAGAGACGCAGACGAAGTTGCGCGGGTCAGCTAGTCATAAATAAAATACCTAATAGAAGTCACCTTGAGAATCAAACTTGACTGCACGGATGTCGTAGTGGTTTAAGCGGTCGCACGCCGCTTCCTACAGCGCTGAGTGTTGTGGGTTCGATCCCAACATGATACAACACTTTGTGTGATCCACAAATTGTTGATCTGAGTCTTGGTGTCCTTTGTGTCCGTTTCTTGTATGCTTGTGAAGTCCCCCGCGACACAGGATATATTCCTAGTGCAGGAGTTGTCTTTTTAAAAATAATAAAGTACAGTAGTACAAAACTGTACTTCGTCGCCATTAATCGAAGGTGAATCAACGAAAAAATACTAGTGTCTCTTGGGACGCAGACACCCTACGCCATAAACAATCATATGTTTAAAAAAAAATGGATACTCTATTTCACTTTTATCTTCTATCACAACTTCGTAATTGACCTTATTTGCAAGTCAACACATATCAAACATAGAATAAAAATATTTCTTTCTCAATCATTAATAAAATATATATAATAAACATGCTAAGGTAAGCGTAATATTATTATTTGTAAAATAAATAGATTTTAAGGCTTAGCTCGAGAATTTTCAACCTTAAAATCAAGGAAACAGGCTTCAGTTCGCATTAAAAGTAAGAACATATTATTTTTTTGTCATATTTAACAGAAATATACCGATAGCGAATAGTAGTTATCGTTACGTTAGGTTATTATAAATAAGTAAACATCACTGGTAGGTGGTATCCGAGGGGATTTCCGCACATAAAAAAAAAGGTCAATATAAAAAAGTAATCATATCATGACGTTTTTTGTTATTCTGTTATGTTAGTGCCTATTTTGCGCAAATAGTGTATTCAAAAATTGTTTTTTTTTGTCCCTGTGGTGACGGATTAAGAATACGAATAATCACCACCCCTTCATTCATCCCATGGGTGTCGTAAGAGACAACTAAGGGAGCTTACTCTGCGGGACAACAGCACTGCAAAGAGAAGGAAAACTTGACACAAATCCTATACCAACCCGTCTGGCCAGCGTGGTATAGTAGGCCTAAACCTCCTTTCCAAGGTGAGGTCTATGTCCAGCAGTGGACTATTAAAGGCTGTTGATGGTGATGATGATGAAAATAAATTATTTTAACCCACTTAATTGCAACGATAACGATAGTATCAATAACTATTTATATCTAACTCAAACTCGCGCACACTCACTTATTTCAACGAATTAACAATAGTGTAAACTA